TATATATACTGTATATACATATATATATATAATGTATTCCAGGTTTTTATTCAAGCTTACGTCACTGCTTTTAAATTTATTTGATCTCATCATCATTTAAAAGAAATAGGCCCATGTAAAGAGTTTGCTTATCATTTTAAAAATTTTAAATATTCAGATTTACATCATACTTAATACCTTTTTTATGGAAGACCAATTGTGTCACTTTGTTACAATGTAAAATCTGCGTAATAATGGAATATGTCGCTTTATTTTGTCGAAATAGGGAGAGCATAAAACATATTTTTGAAATGTTTAAGGTACTAATTCCTGAATACAACTGCGCTACTCCACTGAACGTATTTCAGGGTTTAGTTTTTCCAAGCTAAAGTCACTGCTTTTATAATTTGTTATTTCATCCCATTATGTGTCTCTATTGATTAACTTACAGTTATATAATTATTCATATGCTTATATAATCTCTATGTTGTTTTTGCGATACTATTACGAAACTTTGAGGATTGTTTAAATTTTTTTTTTTAGGACCTTGCACTGAATCTGAATTGCGATGTAATAATACTATTTGTATCAATAACGATTCGTTTTGCGATGAATTAACCTTCGATTGTATATACAGCAACTTCGATGAAGAGAGCTCGTTGTGCGACGGTATTTATCTATAATACATTTATACTGTTTTATAATAGAGAAGGAAGCCAGATAACGTTGTATCATACAGTCTGAATCGATTTATCATTAAGCCTATTCAGGTCGTCATGAGAGTATTAAACATGTTTAATATTCTACGACGCGACTCTCCCCGACGCAGATCAACATTCAACGCAACCAATTGCGTTGGGCTGCGTTTTGTGTGCGTCACTCCTTGATATGGCCTTCAGTGCTTATTCAAAGTTTTGTCTATGCAAAATGGATATTTGCACTAATCCCCACCCCTTGGACGGTTGCTAACATCACACAAACCGACAGCCAATGAAATCATATTTCGAATAATTTAAGGCAGTAATTAAAATTGTCTCAATGAAAACATGTCATATATAATACATCTTTGTAATGAAGAATGTCAGAGAACAATTAAACACTCCATGTAATAATGACACAGCATACTGTAGTAAAGCAACTAAAAGCTTTATGCGTGATCAACACTTATACAAAGTTATTTAGTTGCGTAAAATTACATTATAAATACGTATTTATTGTTCTACATTTATGCACCAAACTGTAACGTTATTTTTTGTTTTATAACATAGAATTGTTAGTTGGGTTCACAATATTTAGGACAAAGGACAATAAGCCAATTCGTAGTTTGAACTGTGCATGCCTGTATCCAAGGTCAATCTCATAACCCTTTGTTGTGTGAATGTTTATATCAATTGTTCTCTTACTACTTACTTACTACTACTTACTATATTTTATTTGGAATGATATTTGCGAGATTTTTTCGTAAGTATTTGGATATGTACTGAGCATTCAGTACAATAACACGTCAGGTTGGGGAAAACATCATTCCGATTAAATTTCCTGACGCAAACAACATGTAATATTTTTTATTTATTGTAATAGGAAGCTGTTTAGCACCTGACACGTTGCGAAATGGTGAACAGATCAGTCCGTTACAGCACCGTAAAAGGTACCTCGAGGGCCAATCGATTTCGTTCATTTGCAACCATGGATATACATTAGTTGGAAACAGCACGCAAATATGCCAAAGTGGTACATTTCAAGGCACACCTCCGAAATGTTATTGTAGGTGGCTTGGATCTTTTTTTTTTTACATTGAAAGAATATTATTTTCGTATTCATCGTTTTTGGTTACGGTACAAAAACAATCAAAGCCTAAAACAATACAATATCTAATAAAATAATACTAGGTTCAGACTTGGAGATAAGCCAGGCTTGAGTTAAGCCCGGCTCAACGTTAAGCCCGGCTTAACTTTGCCAGGCGTTCAGATTAGCGGGTTTAGCCGGGCGAGAATTTGCATAATAATAAACCATAACCAGGAAACGTGTTTCAAAACATTGCTCGCGAAACGTACGCTCACTCACAGCGTACGTAATTGAATAGTTATTGGTCATTTCGTCACCCACCTGAAGTCAATGCAAGACCCCCCCCCCCCCCCCCCCGCAACAATTAAAGCCCGGATTAGAAAGTTAAACACGGTGGCGCGCCAGGCCTAGTTACTATAGGAACACAGCCCAGCTTTAGATAAGCCACCTAGTTCAGACTGGCAGGTGGATAAACCCGGTGAGGTGAGCCGGGTTTATCCACCTAGTCTGAACTAGGCCAAAGATGATGAAAGTTAGAGCCGTATCAGTCGTTATGAAATACAGTAGCACCTTCTTTTGACTTGAAACACAAGCTTTCGCTAGCTTCTTTAGCTTCACCAATAAAATAAGGCAAATTAACTGTGGCATTACTTTACTCTTCAATGAAACAATGTCGCTGATAATTTAAAATTAAAAAAAAAAAAAAAAAAAACCTAAAAGTTAGCTATTGAGTTATACCTTTTATTTTATTTATTTTATTTTAGTCCACTGTTCAAAACCAGCACTGCTTGAAAATGGACTATGGATTGGGCCTGATTTCATTGGTCACGGAGATACTGTATCTGTCACTTGCAATGTGGGATATGAGTTAGACCCTGAGAAACCAACAGTATTTACTTGCCAAGATGGTCAGTTCGTTGGTGAACTTGACAAACGTTGTATTAGTAAGTCTACTTCTCAGATATGACGGAGAGCTAATGAGAGACCAAGCAACTTAGCATATAGTATTTGATACTTGTATTCTTTACGTTTCTGTATTTGCTTAGCTATTATCTATCTCCCCCTCCCTCTCTCTCTCTCTCTCTCTCTCCTAACTTTATCATTGTAGATGTGATCTGTCTCTTATACACATCTAGATGTGTGTTTATTCAAAGTATACGTCTGGATTGCAAATATCGACAGATCTTAAATATAGGCAATGTAGGTTACGTACACATATTCTTAAATTTATCATAATTAAGAATAGGCTTATGTGTAAAATACTAATGAACATGTTAAGACTACGAGATAGGATGGTTATACAATAAACACAACCATCGACACATATGTCCTATTATGACAACAATAATATTACTCCAACGTATATAGAAGTAAGGCTCTGGAGGAAAATAATTTTTTGATATGTTGTAGAACTGATGTTTTTGTTTTTAAGGCAAGAAAAGTTGTTTGACGAAAAACTTGGGAACAGATTGTTTAATATTTAGAAGCTGTGTTAAAAATATGGGAAAAAAGTGTGCTTATGCCCAGTTTTTAAATATTCAAAAATCTGTATCTCATTAACCGTTCCCAAGTTCTTTGTCAAACAATTTTTTCTGTCTTAAAAAATTAGTTCTACAATGTATAATTTTTTTCCTGCAGACTTTAAAGTGTTTTCCTCTTTCTTTCCTCTATGTAACCTGTGTATGGCCCCTGTATATGGCCTACATTTTTTTTAATAGCCAAGATCATTGTTGAAATTTTACATTATTTTATTGGTATTTCTTTTAATTTATTATTTTATAGATATTGATGAGTGTGCAACAGGACAACACAACTGTGATTCAGATGCTAGTTGTGATGATACTATTGGGTCTTTTGTATGCATATGCAACACAGGGTTTGAGGGTAACGGAACAGTTTGCACAGGTAGAAACTCAGAGATTTCATTTATCTAATCAAGGTGTACGTTCAATGGCAATATTTCATTTCATTTATATCTCTCTCATAACATATAAAAATACAATGAACAATTCATAACAGTAAAACAAACCCAAAAAGAAAATTGAGTCATAAATACTTTAAAAGAGAGAGGAAAACCAAAAAGCGAATTGAATCTACTATCAAACATGGCACAATAAATATAATACACAAATGACTTTAAAAATTTATGATAAAATATATTTGCTCAATTAATTACGTATTTGTGTTATCATCATTATTATTACTATTATTATCATTATCACTATTATCATTAAAATAAATTTTAAGAGATCTACGGAATTAACTTGAATTAATTAAAAGGGTATTTCTAATATTATTTAATAGTCTGTCCCAGGCTCGCGGAAAATGATTAAAAACAGAATATTTACAGGCATTAGTTCTAGCAAAGGAGTGAGTAAAGTAAGATTATCAGGGTGGCGAGTATTGATTTTAACAAACTTAAAAATGTCAATTGAAAATTTCCCCCAGAGACAGCAACAAATATAATACATATTAATTAATAAAAAAAACGATCTTCAATTAGAGGTAAGTCCCAAAAGTTTACAATGCTGGGCATAGGACAGACTACTAGGTTGAACTCTAAATGCAGCATCAATGTTAATAGGAAAACATGCTCTGGACTTGTGTTGTTGTGTAGTTTTTACGTTTCAGAAGATTACCACGGTTATATTTATATATTTATTTAATCTTTCTTAATACTGTAGGCACTTTCAGTACTAAAGTACTGATTTTCAAAGGGGTAAAGTGACAAGAAACATATACAGTAGAAATAAAGGCAAAGAATAAAATAAAATAAAATTTGAAAATTATTTTAAATGATTTTGGAATGAAAAAGTCGACATCTCTTTAAAATTAATTTTTAATTTGTGTGGTAGTTCATTCCAGCTTTTGTATGATCGATATAAAAAAGTTCTTTTTCCCTGTCCAATATTCCAGTATACATTGGAAGGACCAGGTTGTTATGGGTTTGGCTACGTGTGCCTTTAGAATGGGTAGTATTGTTAAAGGTAAATTTTGAAGACAAATATTGAGGGGCATTATGGCAGCCAAGTGGGAATGGCATATTCAAAAACTGGACAGAAAATAGAATTATATAGTTTGAGAATTAAAATAGGGTTTCTACAGCAGGCAATCCTTCTGACAAACCCCAGAAGTTGGGAAGCCTGGTTAGATACATTATCAATATGGACATTCCACTTTAAATATGAAGTAAATGTAATACCAAGATATTTCACAAGTTCGAAATTAGAGCATCTTTACCAATATAATAGCTTAAGGCATTTAATTTATGATTTGTAGATCTAGTTAAGCGAAGAGTATTGCATTTTTTTGTGTTAAGAGGCAATTTATTATTCACACTCCACTCATTAACAGTGTCAAGGTTGCTTTACATAACAATTTCATCCTCCTGGGACCTGTTAGTCTTGTAAGCTAAATGATGGTGTCATCAGCATATTGAATAACAGTAGAAGATATGGAGTTGGCCAGGTCAATAACGTATACAATAAAAAGAGTAGGTCCCAGGACTGCTCTCTGCGAAACTCCACCGTGAACAGGGTAGGGCTTTGAAAGGGCCCCTCGAAAACACACCCTCTGACTATGCCACTTGAGAAACGAAGACAACCAATCATGAACAGGGCCCCATATAACGTAGGAATGAAGTTTGTTAAGCAACGCTTAATGACAAGCTCGGTCAAAGGCTTTACTAAAATCTAGAACGTGAACATAAGGGGTAGGGCAACGCAAATCCAGATTAGAGGACCAATCATGCTAAGCAGTTCTAGCTAAGGCTGTTTGACATGATCTACCATTCGTGAAACCATGATGAATGGTTGATAATAAGCCATAAGTTAAATGACAAACGAGATGTTTACACACAACTTTTTCTAAAAGCTTACCAGCAGCAAAGCAATAGGACGATAATTAACAGTAGAGCTAATATCACCAGATTTATGGATGGGAACCATGTTGGCCACTTTCTAGTCAACAGTGATATCACCAGTGCTAAGTGAGAAATTGAAAATTCTAGTTAATGTCTCACTAACATATACTCCAGCTAACTTTATCATTGTAGATGTGATAGAGTTAGGGCCGGGAGCTTTGCTAGGTCTCAAGCTATTAATAAGGAATTACAGTAGTAGAGCTCCGCATAGTACACTATAGGAAATTTATTATACGAAAGTTAGATTTAATGCTAGCAAAAAAATGTAACAAAACTCAATGTTTGCAGCACCTACATAATTTGACTACAAATTTTATACCTTCCAATTATGTTAACTCAATTCCAGATTTTGACGAATGTGAATCCCAAACAAGTACTTGTTCAGCTAATGCCACCTGTACTAACACACATGGATCATTTAATTGTACATGCAATGAAGGCTTTGAAGGCGACGGCATGTTTTGTCGAAGTACGTTTTTCACCATTTGTTTTGTTTTTTTTTGTATATTAATAGGCCTACATTACCGAAAAAGATTAAATAGAGATTTCTTCCGTTTGACTTGCATAATAATTGGCCTTTGTATTATAGATATTAAACATCTATATTAAAAAACAATATATTATAGATATTAAGAAAAATATTTATCTTAATTAGGTGCATCTTTATTTTTAGCGATCACCTTAAAAATCTTAATTCTTCATGCTTTCGGTAAAAATTCAGCTCTTTTAAATGTGCTCTAAACATTTATATTATTTTTATAATATTTATTATTTTATTCATATCTAGAAATAAATGATACAGTATTAAAATTATTATATGGTTTGTTTTTTTTCAGTGATACTTTATTTTTTATTTGGAATCAGTGAGGGAGATACATCGCTTCGTCTGTCTTCCAAACAGATATCAGGAGAATATGTGTCTTCCGATTTTTTCCTTGCATCCGGCTTTCCATTTGGCAATCAGTTTTTACGATATATATATGTAAGTTGAAAATTTTACAATAACGACAACCTCTGTTATTATGAAAATATAGATAAATAATGATAACTGTGTTCAAATAGGAACATGATGTTACAATCGTATCAAGCATAGCCCTTCAACTGAAAGTTCCTTAATATTTAAGTTGTATGAAAAGATACAGTATCTGGTGAGATTTGAACTTGCAAACTCTCGCTATTAAGTAATTATATTTTTAGACTGCCTTGGGCGATTTTTTTCCCTGTAGGATTGGTGGCGCTATACATTCAACATAACTAGAAAGAATTGCGACATGACCACTGGACGCCCTCAACCCTCCATATTGGCTCCACACCACCTAATCAGTGGTGTGTAACTAGAACAAATAAGATAAATTCTAAATTCTTGACCTCATGTTATTTAAAAATCAAAAACACCATAACGAAAGGTCTTGTCACATTATTTTTTGTTGGAAAATGTTCTTAAAAAACTATTCTACACCACTGCACCATTCAAGATGGGAAAAGAAGTGCCTATCTAAATAGTGTATTAACAATACCTCAGTATAATTACTACGTACGTATTCTTATTTTATGCTACAAGTTATTTTGGAGATACCCTGGGACTGGGACCATAGCTAGGGGCTTGCCACAAACACCCGATTATTACATAAATTTTGAAGTTGCCCTGTGCATAAGTAAGAGGCCTAGTCGAGTATTATTAACAAACGCGATGATGTATGCCTAGCTAAGGCGCTACGCTATTTTCGTCAAGCAAAAACTACATGTAATTTAATTAACTAGAGGGCACTCGGAGAGTGCATCTCAGCCCACATCATAATTCTCCTCAGTATAGATTTCCTCCACATATTGTTCCCCATAAACAAAAATTAATGAAAAGAAAAAAAAAACAAGTAGACACCTTGGGATTTGAACCCGGGGCTGGTAGTGTGGAAAAGCACTCTTCTAGTGTGTGGAAAACACTGTTTTTACATACTTTGAATTAATGGTCATATGTATATGGCGGCAAACCCACACACATGTCCAGACAGTTATACTTAACTTAAGTAGTTTTTCGATCATTGTGTCCTTGACCTTTGACCCCGACCGTTCAAAATTTTGTCACTTCCAGATCTTTGGCAAAGGAACGTTTCTGATAAAAACTGTTTCAAAAAATCCTTTTTTGTTGATTGTGACCTTGAGCTTTAACCATCACCCTTCAACATTCAAATACTTTGAGACCTTTGATCATGGATCATTGTGATCAAGTTTGACAAGTTTGTGATTAAAACTAGGGGCTGTTGACAAATAAGTTTAAAAAAATAGTTTTTTTATTGATTGTGACCTTGACCTTTGGCCCTGACCCTTCAAAATTTAATCGGCTCTAGATCTTAGGTAAAGGAACATTGTGGCAAAGTTTGACAAATTTCTGATAAAAACTATGGGCTGTAGGCTGTTCACAACAATTATGCTGACAGAGAAATAAATAACTAAATAATAAACCAGGCAAAAACATAACCTCCAGCCAAGGTCATAAATAAACAGCGGCAAAACATAACCTCCTGCCAACTTCGTTTTCAGAGGTAATTAAAATAGCCAATTGAGAATCAATTTCTTTTGTGAATTGTGTTATAAACTTCAAACACACGTTAATTAACTGATATTTACTATCAAATGACAACATTTTCTTATTAATAATTTTATTTATTTTGTTCAATTGCCTGTTATTTATGCAATCGCCACATTGTAACATAGGCGTTGTGTTCATTCGAAAGGACACAATATGGAGTCCCACTAGCTGCTCATGTCGCAACTTTAAACATAACACTTCTCCTTGATGCAGCAATCTCATATATTTATAGGAGTTTCCTGCAGCCGTTTGCACATCCAGGATTTTTGATATCCAAGGCTCAAGTGCCGTATGCTGATGTCACCTCATCATATAATGTTCTGTAGTATGACGTCACGATTGTACCCACAACCCCCTGTCCCTTTTGGAGCATCTTGATACAGTGAATAAAATAAGAATTAATAATTAATAATTAATAATAATAATAATAATAATTAATAATAATTAATATTAATTAATAATAATAATTAATTAATAATTGCGTATCTTTCTTCATTTGTTGTCAAACATGAGGTACCAATCCTACACCTTAGGCATCATGCAACACCGACAATTACAAGCCTTGACCTTATATGAACGACAATATTAAACCCCAAACTAGTCCCACGGCCACTAATGATAACGATCATTAGTGGTCGTGGGACTAGTTTGGGCCTTACCTAAGCTGGTCGAACGTTTCGTTTGGGTCTATACCCTAGCTGCACTGATGAGGCCTTGAAGGCCGAAACGGATCCGTCTGCAGATATTGGGATCCAAAAGATACTGGCCCCCAAACATTGAGATTTTTTTTATAAATCCTAGGCTCTTGATGTGTACGGCCTGTTTAGGCATGCACGAGAGTCTTCCATCCGCGAACTACGATTTTGACACGCTACGATTTTTAAGCTAGTTAAGGTTTACAAAGGATCACATTAATTCAAAAGCATACAAAGCACATTGAACGCTAGAATAATTAAATAAAAACACTTTTGAACAATCGAAGTGCCTTTCCTTGCCAGTTATTTCTCACGTTAATGGTGGGCGAATGTTTTTGAAATTATAACATTACACTTTCCTATACTTTAACACTGATCGCATTGTAAATTCTCCATAGTAATACCCAATATATGTCACATGACCGGCTGTAAATAAATCTTGCGGAATGTGTCTATTCTCATTTTCCATTTTCATAGCCTATATAGCTTTGGCTTAAGTTGCGCATTCTCAATTGTTGCATGAAAAGTTCGATTTTTCTCATTTCTATTTCACACCGTCTTCGCAGACGCCGTTTGGTTGTTGCGCATGCTCATGAGTTAATGAGACGTCGCTTGGTAACTGCACATGCTTGTCAACGTCACTTACTCAGTGCGCATGCTCACTGTCTGTCCAGCATTCCCCAGCGCATTCTCACTGTGATGGTTTTACATAGATTTGTCGGAGAAGTTCTTTGGTAACTGCGCATGCGCATTGCTACGTACGGAATTCGCATTCCTTCGTAGTAAATGCTACCGCTTACCCACAGTTTCTTAATGACTGTTTCCTCTTGTTCGTACATATATTGATATTATCTCACTAGGGACGGCGCCGCTATTCTATTCAATTGCAGAAGTTGGTCTAGTTCCAAAATATGGATGACTAGCAAGGGGTTTTCTTACTGTGGTGACCTCATTTATAATATCAGGTGTCACATCACAAATGTGTAATGAATGTGTTATGAAACAGTAATTAATAGTTAACAGTGTATTAATTGTACTTACTAAATGATAACTATAATAATTAATCTAGCATGCTATTATAACATTTCCAGATTGAATCAATCCAAAAGCACTGCTAGATATCCCAACAATTCACTATATTAAATATAAAGACAGGCTTGATCACTGCAAACAGGTCAAATAAGACCTTTTTATTTGCCTTAATTTCTTATACAAAATTATTAAAGCTATTATTAAAATTAATTCACTTTAAGTATATCTCATTTGATACACGTTGACCCAACCCCAAACCTGACCTTCCCCCTGCTTGATGCAATGCCCTTCACTATTCATTTTGTTATATTCCAATCATCTAGAACGGAATTGCTACATGTTTATCCTCCTCCGTCTTTCAAAACTGCTATCGATCAACTGCGCTAAGACACTGCATCATTTATTTACTTATTTAATCATTTATTTCTTGCTTATTTACTTATTTATGCTTGTTTGTGTAATTATATATTTATTTTTAACTTATTGTATTCATTTAGTATTTTTTTGTAACTTATTTTTGTTCTTAATAATTATTGTATTAACTTAGGTATGAAGTATTAATTTTACTATTAATTTTGTGCTATTTATATTTGAATTTTTGTTATTCTGATAGGTACTTTGTACAGGGACCTGTTCCCTTTGGTACCTATCAGTCACTTATTTGAGTTAAATTATGAATTACATTGTGGAACTCATAGTAATTTTAATGTTTTTTTTTATGCAAGGGAAAGAGCTAACTTGGTTTATTAGAAGATGGTTCACTCAAAGCAACAGACATCTCTATAATTATGGGATTTCTATTAAAGGGAAGGACAATTTGGGTGGTAGGACCCTGATAGGCCTTTTTCCCAAAGCAAAAGCATTTAGTGATAGTAAAAACTCAGCCATAAATTATTTGATCCTTGAATTTTAGATATGTTATTAGATGACTGCAGTGATATACAGTATTTTTATTATTGTAATTATTAGAACGTCACTTTACATTTTAATTCTAGTATTATTTAACAGAATTTAAAAATCTGAGACTAATTATTTTGGGATTTTTTAAAATAAAATATTTAATTATTTTTATATATTTAAGCATTTTTTACAACAAAAAAACCAACTTATCACGAAACACCAAACCAGGTCTATTTAAAAGAATGCACTTTTTGTTATTCTTCATCTTATACTACAGGAATATACTACAAAAACTACAATAGGACAAGAATTCATAAAACAAGCAGAGAACAGACTACGCCGTTCATATTTAGGAACTATCCCATCTAATTTCTCTCCATCATGGGCGCTCAAAGTCACATGGTTTGAAATTCCACAGAGGCCAGCAGACCCATCGGTTAACAGAGTAAGTATAGACTTCTAGTGGTGGAATAGGGACTATAAGCTGTAGCCCCAGTGTACATAATTGGCTCTTGTGCACTTTAAAGAACCCAGTACATAGGCCTATTTCGAGACTGCAGTTATGGATCTTTTTTTTTCCCACCAGTACCATTGTTTTTGTTCTGATTTTTTTTTTCTTTTTTCTTGCATATATTTTTCCTATCTTTTTGCACTGTTTTTTTCTGGCCGTCACTTTGTCTTAGAATTTTTCCGTGCTGTGCTGAAGCATAGGCCATATATCAAGGTTGTGCCTCCTAATATTTACTTTAAATCTATGATGGGGTGTGTGTGTAAGGACCAATTCAAGTGATTAAAAGTCAAACAGTCTACACCGGATATTTCAAAAACCAGTCAATTGATAATGAAACTTACGGGAAAGTTTAATCAAGTTGCAAGGAAGAAATGATTATGTGCTGGCGATGAATTAGTCAAGGGTGTATATTGGAGGGTCATTTCAATTTTTAAGGACCCAGACCTACATATCTCTTTTAAAAAAATCAATGGGTATAATTTATACCTTGTATAACAGTTTGTCATGTTCAAGTAAAGAAATAATTAAATTTTTGTGACGATCTGGAGTAGTGTGTAGATCTGAAGACCATTGAAAGGAAAACGTCCCAGACCACATATTTTCGAAAACAGATCAACTGATCTGAATGAAACATTTGGAAAAGGTTGAACTTAAGTTACAAGGAAGATAGGATTATGTGTTGGCGACGAATCAGTCAAGGGTGTAAACTGGAGGGTCATTTAAATTTTTGAAATCCCAGACGTAAATATCTATAAAAAATTGTTCAATGGGTGTAAATGAAACTTTCTATAATAGTTTGTATAGGTCCTGTAAAGAAATGACTTTTTGTGATGATTCGGCGTAGGGTGTGAATATGTGGACCATTTAAAGGAAAACGTCCCAGACCAGATATTTCAAAAACGGGTCGGCTGATCCGAATGAAACTTTCGGGAAAGTTTAACCCAAGTTACAAGGAAGATATTATTATGTGTAGGGGACGATCCATGTTAGGGTGTAAATTTGAGGGTCATTTAAATTGCTTACGTCCCAGTTATAGATGGATAAAAATGACACTTTGTAGAATAGTTTTTCATGGTGAAATGAAGGAATGATCCAATTTTGGTGACGATCTGCAGTAGGGTGTGGATATGAGGACCATTTAAATATTTTTTGTTGACAGTTGATTAAATTATTTAAACGCAATTTGCGTTTTCTAAAGCGCTTAAACCAGTTACAGCCAAGTTAAACTCAAATCTACCGTGATATGCATGAACAATTTTGCTTGAAAATGCACTTTCCTATTCAAGGTCGGCTCATATGGCACGCAATGGTTATCAGTCACGATGTACCTTGCTATGACCATTGCAGCTGTAGTTTAAGTCTCACTAATAACATCGCGGTGAACATGGTTTTCATTTTTTTTTCACTTCATTAAAATTATATTGATTTTCCGTTTTTTTTGGTTTTTTTTTACTTTATACCTTTTAACGACTTTTCTTTTTGTTGCAATTTCAACTTCATTTCTCATTAATGCAATGGGGAAAAGCCCTATGTTCTGTTGTTCAAACAGACATAGTAAGTCTAGTTTTTATTTCTTTTGTTTTTAATACAAAATAATATCCATGGAAGGATAAAACACAAAATAATGGCAAATTTATTGCTATTATTATCCTTTACCTTTATATTATACTTTTATAATATTATACCTTTATATTATTATACCTTTATATTATTTACGTTTTTCCATAGTTCATATTTTTAAGCGCTGTGAGACTCCAGTAAAGAGCGCTATATAAATTCTTGAATATTATTATTATTATTTTTATTATTGTGGTCCTCAAATTACAGAATAAACAAACTATCATACAAAACAATTAACTGACATTAAAAATATAAAAAGCAACAAAAAAGGAAAAGAGCTGCACCCGTTTTTAATTCGTATGAAGTGGCATGAGGGTCCCAAATGATCAGCTTCTGCATTATATTCACCCTCTTTAAATATGGTTCAAATGAAAAAAATATATAAAATGAGGAGTAAAAGTCTGTCTCTTTTATATATATTATATTTTTTAACAGAGAAACACATTCCAAGCTGTTCTTCTAACCGATGGACTTTACAGCTTTGCAATAAATTTCTTTGAAGAACGACGTATGCTTTGGGATTCCAATCTAGTTTTCTTAAAAGATGCTATTTTGGGATACAACATTGCAAATTTTAGTTTTGAAAACTTCCAGCTTCAACAACCGCTTGTAAGCGATGTGTATAGGCCAGATCTGGTCCTAGGGAATACCAATGAACATGGTCAGTGGATTTTTCGTTTGGAGGACAATACAGAGAATACTGTCAACCCCAAAAAGCGGTGCTTAGACTGGTATATAGAGGATTCATCAAGTTTCTTTAACCCAGTTGGTCTGGGTACCTGCCCATGTACACTGCGTCAGGCTCTGAGAGATGGAAGATATCGTATTCGACTTAGAATAACAATTGCTTCAACCCCAAGTTATATCTTACCTCTTCTGGCTGATCTAGGCATATCGAACGATCTGTTTGTAACTGTTGTAAGGCTCATAGACTTGGGTAAGCTACAGAAAATATACTAACTATTAACAAGGATATTTTACCGATATTTCCCTACGTTGCTTCAATACACGACTAAATAGAAACTTGTTAAAATTTGGAAAATCATAATCCGATTTATTCAATCCAACAAAAATAATGGATTACAAATAAGTATTTGAGATATAAAAACTGATCGTAGGTTTCAGCAATACATAACATATTCATGTATGGCACTGGTGATCTTAAATTTGTAATGATTTGCCAGCAAGTAAAAACTCTTGTAACGTGGTAACACTTCAATGCAATAGGTCTGTAGTTATCTTTAAAGTTAATGTCTCCTGACTTGCCTTTACTATAACCGTATCCATGGATGAAATGCCGTATCACATGACAAATACGGTAAGCATACTGACAAAGATTGTGAAAGGTCTCTTGGTCATAATAGTGTTATAAGATAAGATGCATTTTGTATGAGAAGAGGCCTAAAATCGGATTTGATGTACGGTACTGTATAGGCTTATGAGCTTTAGTACTATAAAATATCAACTCTATTTATATTTTTTTGTTTCTCCTGCAGCTAAGTACTACACAATTTGCTTCCAGTCGTCGACATTTAACATCTATTTATCTGGTACCGAATGTTGTTATCGATGGAGTTTTTTTAGGTTTTTCAACTTAGGTTTTCTAAACAGAGGCTACGTTGGAATTGGGGCAAGCAGTTTCTCATTTCGTTATGGCTACACATTCGGACCTTGGTTTCTTCCATATCAATATGTCTACCATATTTGTAAGTTGCACACTCATAGCCTAAATTAAAGTCAGGCTCCGGAGGAAAAAAAATTGATATGTTGTAGAACTGATTTTTGTAAGACAGAAAAAAAGTAGTTTGATCAAAAACTGAGCAACGGTGAATGAGATACAGATTTTTGAATATTTAAAAACTGGGGGAAAAAGGTGCCGCCCCTTTTTCCCCCAGTTTTTAAATATTCAAAAATCTGTATCTCGTTCACCGTTCCCCATTTTTTTGTCAAACAACTTTTTTCTGTCTTAGAAAAATCAGTTCTACACATATCAAAATTTTTTTTCCTCTGGAGTCTGACTTTAACACACACATATCGCATCATACTGTACCTATGTTTTATACAAACAAATTACAATTATCTTCATGGAAATCAGCCAATGAAGTTGCGGACGTACCTGATGCAGACCACTTGGGCTTGGTGCACATGGAAGCCGCAACGTTAGCTTTCAACAACGGTCTACACAGACTACAACCACTGCCTAAGAAAATCAACAGTTTCACGTCAAGTGAGCTGAATTCTACATCGGCCAATCTTCGGCAAAAGCAGTGTGTGTTAAGATTGGTTTTCATACAATCGCTACGCACTATCGCCGACAGCTTTCGTGATGCTGATTAGTCGGTTGAATCGGGCAGCCTTCCCAATTGCGTTGGAGACTGCTTTTGAAACAGTGGCATATCTAAGTGATGCAAGGGGGAGCACACGCCCCTCCAATAATTACCCCCCCCCCCCCACCTAGT